ATCGGCGACACCCGAGTCCTTACTCGCTTGCCTCACATAGTCAACTAGACCAGAGTCGACCTCCTTAGGGTAGGAGTCCAACCCAATTAGGTCAGGGTCCTCAAAATACCCATCTTAGGGGATCTAGAAGTCAAAATATGAATCATCACGGCTCATCTAACAGGGGCATGCACCTCGAATTCCCTAGGTTCGATTTAGAACTCCCTGAGTTCAATGATACCTTTGCAACTGAATATCTTAAGAACCTACCTTCAGTCAAAGCTTTCTTGAGGCGTGCTGGACTTGTTGAGCCACACACCCGACCTAGGGCATCGCGTCACTATTCAGGTCAGAGTCAGGGGACCTCTCTAGCCCCTGAACCAACAGTATCATGTGAGTTCCACCCCGTTGTCAATGTATTATTTTTTGTTATAGTTGTAAATTAGATTTTTAAATTACATGATATTATAAGACAAATTTCAAATTTATTCTTATTTATATAGTAAAATGATGATAAAATAATAAAATACAAACCAATAATTCTAATTTCAATGTATAACATTGTATTTAGTTAGGTTTTAATAAATGTTTGATGAGAATCTTCATACAGGGAAAGAAATCTCAACATTCGCATATTAATGCAAAAAAATAAAAGTTATTAATGTAGTACTCTAATTTCTTATTGAACTCCAAAAAAACATTTATAATGATTTTTAATATTTTTTTTTCCTTTTTTTAAGGCCGAATCCAATTGATTCTGCCAATTCTAAATCCAAAACGCCGATTCACCAAATATGAAACAACCCAAGGGATTAGAATAAAAGGGAAAACGGAACCCAATATGCAAACTTAATAAATCCCTCTATGGCTTAAAACAAGTATCGCGCTAATGGTACCTTAAATTCCAAGAAATTATGTCTTTGACAGGATTTATCCCTAACCAAAAAGACCTTTGTATATATAAAAAGGTCAGCGGGAGTGATATTGTATTCATATCTCTATAAGTGGATGATATGATGATTATTAGTAGCTCAATAAACCTCATGTTAGAAACTAAGAAATTCTTTGCACAACACTTTGATATGCAGGACCTTGGGAAAGCTTCATATGTGTTGGGCATAAAGATTGTAAGGAACAGAGAGAAGAGAACCATTCAACTTTTCCAAACGACCTATTGCAAGAAGGTGTTGAAAAAGTTTGACATAGATAAATGTAAGTCCATGACAACCCCGATTGACAAGAAAACAAAGCTTAGTAATAAAATGTGTCACAGTAACGAAGACGTAGAAGAAATGAAAATTATGGAGAGAGTACCATATAGAAGTACAATGGGATCCCTTATATATGCAATGATAGGGAAAAGGCCTGACTTGTCTTTCGTCAATAGCATCGTTAGCCGGTTCCAATGCAATCTAAGAGTGGAACATTGGAAAAACGTTAAGAGAATTTTGAGATACTTGAAAGGGATTATGAACTATGCACTTACATATGGGGGAGGATCAGAAATCGTTATCAAGGGGATCCAGATGATGCGAAGTCAACATCTAGATATGTGTTCATGCTTGGAAGCGGGACTGTTTCTTAGAAGTTAAAGAAACAATATGTACTAGCGTTGTCCACTATGGAATCAGAATACATGACATATTGCTTGGTAGCCAAAGAGGCCGTATGGATTAGGAAATATCTTAATCAACTTGATTTTAAGCCAATATGGTGTGGGGCTGTGAGACTCTACTACGATAATACAGTCGCACTATGCCTATCTAAGTAACCTAGACTTCATAAAAATTCCAACCATATAAAGCCCTTTATATATCATATGTGCAATGAGATGCAGTAAAGAGATATTGACATCAACTATATACTTACCGAGGTGATGATAGTTGATCCACTCACAAAAAGACTAGCTCTAATGATTTTACAAAGCATGTAAGGGAGATGGAAATGAAAGAAAGTGAGGAGAGAGATTATAGGCCTCCAAAGGCCAAGTGGGAGATGTTGGGTTTGTATGGCCTTTAAAGGCCTTATGGAGACTGTGTAAAACATATTTAATAAATAAAACATAAACTTAGTGGAAGTGTGGTCTTTTTGTGAACCATACTAGGCAAATGTTATTTGTTAATATTCGGATTCGGCTCGACGAGTTAGGCCAGCTGAGGTTTGAAAAAACCCAAGATACATGGGCATAGGAATCTAACCTAGAAGGGTTTAGTGGGTTAACCCTTGATGAGGTTGGTGTATGCTTGGATGAGAGCCGAGGGACCATATGGCCCTTACGTGTGATGAATAGCTTTTAGAGACAGAGTTAAAACCTCAACGTTATATCATCACACGACATGTAAATAGATAGCCGTTTGAGATTCGCCAATAAGGATGAAGCATGTACATATACGAGAGATTACCCCTATGCACCATAGAGTCATGGTTGCATCATGGTCTGGAGGACCATGATTTTTGTCTCTAGAGGAGAACCTGATATCCATAAATAGGGATTGTGTCCCCTAGTCTATTGGCTGACTTTGGTGGTCCAATCATGAACCCCTGAAGTGACCTGTGGGTCATGAGAACTACTGGGTCAATTTGAGAAAGCTAGGCGAGTTGTGATTCACAGTTGAAGGTAGAGTGCTCCCATATATTGATAATTTCATAGATCTAACGGATCTGATTCCCATCAAAATTAATTAATTTTAATTAATTTTATATTATGTAATTTTTAAAATGTTTATTTGATTTTTTGTGAATCTTCTAATATTTTATTTTTGTCATTTAAATTTATAAATTAAGATAAATTAATTTTTCAATGTTTGAAATAAAATATAAGATTTAAAAATTATAAATATGAAATAAAATATTTTCTAAAAACATTTGGGACCTCCATAAAATAAGTGGCCCAAAATTTAAAAAGATGTGGATTAGGTGGCCCCATACATAGCCACCAAAAGGATGGCACGTCCCCACCCATTCACGTATTCTTCTTGAGAAGAATATTTATCCTCTTGGTTCACTTATCTTTTTAGATATAGCCAACTTATGTGATAAAGTTGAATAATTGTGATATTTACTAATTCTTTAAATCAAGATTGAATGATCAAATAATTAAAGATTGGAAATATTAAAATATAAAATTTTCTTATTTGATAGGAATAGATTTAGAAAATGGAGGATAAGGCTTTGACTCATCTCTTTGAATCTTAATCAAGGAGATAGATGACTCAAATCTCTCACCCCACAAGTCTCCCTTGATCGACGGTTGAGATTTGGCCCTACTAATTGAGACAAAATCTATGTCATAGAAAATCTATAAAATGAGGTCTCCCCTTTCATAAAATTACGTACATATTCTCTCCTCTCTCTACCTACCCAAATTTAGTTCTCTCTGGATTACCAAAGGGAGGCACGCCCCAAGTTTTATCATCTCTCGTTTTATCATATCTCTCCAAGTTGTTTCGGGTATCACGTACTATCTCTTTTCTTTTGGGTAAGTCTCTTTGAGTGGCATACCTAAGCCTAAGTGGTGTTTTTATTTGTGGTTGGCAAAGGGGTGGAACCCCTTACTAATAGATCTCTCCCTCTCTCTTGATATCTATTTCTCATCTCTCTAAAATCTCAAGTTTTATCATCTTTCTCTCCAAGTTATTTCGGGTATTATGTACTATCTATTTTCTTTTAGGTATTTCTCTTTGGATGGCACGCCTAAGTCTAGGTGGTGTTTTTATATGTAGGTGGCAAAAGGGTAGAACCTCTTGCTAGTAGATCTCTCCCTCTCTCTTGATATTCATCTCTCATATCTCTAAAATCAAGTTAAGATGCTTGATCAAGATGAAGCCATTGAGTGGATTTTTGCCATAATAGGGAAATCAACATACCGATCATAGATCTCGAACATCATCAGAAGAAGAAGACTCAACCCGGTTGATGTAATCTCCAGTAATTTTATCCTTTTTAAATATTTATTTATGTTTTGATCTTCTTGTCCCATAAAGCAATAAAAGTCTAGTTTTCTTTGTTGAATAAAATATTGTATTTGAAGAGGTAGCACTTGATAACTGACTTTATTTTATTGTATTTTTTTTCAAGAGTGGTTTGATGGTAATTGGACATTGTAAGTGATCTTATCGGTATAGGAATAAAGAATTTTTTTTTAAAATATATACACCGTGCTTTATCATAAATTCCTTTCAATTTAATGGCGAAGGAAAGAAATAGGAGAGAGAAGATATTGTTATTGAAAATGGTAATTTAGTCTCAAATATTTTAACTTTTTATTGGGTAAAATTAAAAAAAAACAGTGACTGATTTGTTGGTGTGATAATTAAAGTAGCGTAAACTTATATACTTCTCCTTATCCAACCGTCCATTCTAAATGAAGGGCTAAGATTGCCTCAATCACAATATCACGTCTCTACACTATTTTATTTTTAATCTTTTTTTTATAAGCTATTTTAACACCAAATTTTGTACATCCAATCCTCTATTAAACTCGTACTAGAGAAAAATATAAAAAAAAATATTTTCAATAAAATAAAATGACCAAAATGCCCCTGAAATATTCAAGATATATTTTGGTCATTATATTTTATAGAAAAATTATTTTTAATATTTTTTATAGGTGCATTTCAATGAGAAGATAGCATGTACCAAATTTCATATTCATACAATATGTATAAAAAATACTAAAAATAAAATACTTTGAGACGTCTGATCTAAGATCAAACAGTGAGTGGCTCTCTCGATTAAAATTAGACGACTGGTTGGTAGGGGAAACATAGATCTTCTATGTTGTAGAGAAAGTATAGAAACCTTTCCCGTTAAAGTATTGGAGGGCAGGATGTTTACAAAATTTATTTTAAGAAGATATCGATAATTTTCTGTTTTACTGTTTTTAAAATAGCCTTCAACTAAAAGCATACACAAGAACATCCCACACATAAAAATCAAAAGAGGTTACATCACTCTCCACAGACCAAACCCCACATCTATGCTTATTTGGGGTAGTTCCATTCAAGAAAAACAAGTGTTCATCATGGTTGGCCTAAAGTGCTATAGAAGCCAATGGCTAGAGATGGGTTTACAATGGTGTAGCCACCATCCACAAAGAGGTTTTGCCCACTCACATACCTGGCATCATCACTAGCCAAGTACAATGCAGCCTGCGCTATGTCCTCGGCCTTTAGAACCACCCCTTGCAGGTTCCCAAACTTGCTCAACAAATCCTCAGTGTCCATGTTCACAGCCTCTACTGGCAGTAGCCCGTCGGCAATATGCGTGGCCACCCCGTATGGCGACACACAATTCACCCGAATTCCAAACCTCCCTAACTCTGCCGCCGCACTCTTCATCAGCCCGACAAGTGCAGCCTTTGAGCATGAATATGCATATGAAGAGAAACCCCCTATTTGAGAAGCCACACTTGCAGTAAACAAGATGCAGCCCTTGCTTGCAGGGATCATGACTCGGGCGGCATGCTTTGCCCCCAGTAGTGCCCCTACTAAGTTCACACCCAACACTCGCTCAAATACGGCTTTCTCAGTGTTTAGGATTTCGGCTATCGAGGCATCCAATGTACCGGCATTGTTGTACATGATGTCGAGCTTACCATACTTCTCAACTGTAAAGTCAACAGTTTTCCGGACATCATCCTCATTTGTTACGTCGCAGTGGATGTAAGATGCGTCCTCGCCCAACTCGTGGCATAGGGACTCCCCGAGGTTATCGCGGATGTCAGCAATCACAACCTTTGCACCATGGGCCAAGAAGAGTCGCACCGTGGCCTCTCCGATCCCTCGCGCCCCTCCTGTGATGATCACCACCTTCCCATCGAGCCTGTTGCATCCCATCATGTTAATTCCTCAACTTAAAGCTTAATTATGATTCGTACAAAGCAATCGAATGGAACATGGCATACTCTGCTTCAAAGGGCATCCATTAGTGGCTCTTGCATGCAGTAAGTGGACATTAATGGTTCTCAGATTGAGTATCACAATAATTCTTATCACCTCCCCATCAATATGTTTGATGATGATGAGAGGGTATATCAGGAAAGAGGCTAGTGGGGTCTGGTGGGGTCGTGGTCGTAGCATTCCCACACACCAAGTCACCACATTGTAGTTTCCATTGCTACCACTAACACCACCTTACTAATACTTTCAAAATGATGAGAGGGTATATTAACCAAAAAACTCATTTACTGGATCAACGTTTTTTGACTCGGCCGAATTGCTCAGCCTCTGCCAATGGGTGAGGCCCAATGCTATCTATGTGGTTTTTTTTATATATATAATATTTAAGCAATTGCAAACACATGAAATCTCATTGACTTATTGGTTATTATGTTTGTCACTGCAATTGCTGCTGTATCCACGGGTTGCCTAAAAAACTAAAAAAAGAAAGTCCTATCTGACTCAAAATAACTTGCAATGGTTTCCATTCCTACTAATACTTTAAAAAAGACGACAGGGTATATCAACCAAAAATGTCATTGAGAGGATTAGTGTTTTTGATCTCGGCCGAGTTACTCGGCTTCAGCCAATGGGCAAGGCTGAGTGCTATGTACTTGGCTCAAAATAACGTGCAATGGACAAGAGTTATACCAAAACCTCATGAAGAAACCCTATAAACTCTTGCCAATACACTACTTTAATAGTTGTAATAGATATTATCTTATTTACTATATACTCCTTTTTTTTTTAAACACGGCATGAGCTTGGCCGAGTTATTCGGATTCGGCCAATATCCGAGTATTTTGGCCGAGTCGATTTTTTGAACAATGGATTAAATTATGTTGAGTAGATTTGAGAAACCACATGGTCATTAATTTTTTTTTTTTGGATAATTTAGTGGGGAAGACAAGCCCTTACTCATTTTTTTAAAATAGATTAGGAGTTAGCTTTTTTGAAAGTGTTAGTGAAGAGGTGTTAGTGGTGAGAATGAAAACCACAATGCGATGGCTGAAACGGGGTGCTACCACCAAGCTACGAGCCGCTTCCCACATGGTCGTTAACTTATTATGACTATTTGGATCTTATTTTGCTATGTTCCTTGCAAAAGCCTGTTTGCTTTGAAGATGGACATCCTTTGTTGAAAATCAAGGGGCAATGATGATATTTCTTTGGCATCACCCAATGGGACCGCACAACATGATCCATAGGGAGACTCCATACGTAAGACGTTCATTTGACAGGGATTGAAGATTCCATTCCAAGGTAGGCTCTAATTTGATTCTTTAGAGCCACAGCTCTATACAAACCGTGACCATATATTATACGTCTAACATATATATAACATGTTATACATGGTGAAAATTGTTTCACTCCGGCTGGACCATATTTTTGCATATGCGGTCCAAAAAGTTCAAAACATCCATCTTAAAGATGGATGCAAGTAGGTGTCTCATGTAAAACCAAATTTTTTCTTATTAGAATTATTATTATTTAAATTTTTTAAAATTTATTTACTTTTCATATTCATGATCTCCATGTTAGAGATAACACGTCCTTAAAAATTAAGTTTTAAAATCCATCTCAAAAATAGATTTATTAAGAGGCCCGTATTTCAACATATGCGGGCTTGGCCGCATAAAAACAGGGTCCTATACATAAGATATACATAATGTCATGGTCAGAAAAGATCAAGGGGTGCTTGTCTTAGCATGGGTTTGGCTAAGAGACAATGCTAATGCTTGGCGAATAACCAGCTGAGGTGTGTTATCTCAATCCTGACAGTAGTACCCCCGAGCCACATGATTAGGGGTGGTAACGGTACAGGTCTTGAGCTTTTAGGCCAGGTTTTATGTTCAGGTCGAATTCAAGTCATTTTGCAGGTCGTTACCAGGCTTTTAGGCATGCCTACTACATGCCATTGTTTTTGGGCCGGGCAAGGAAAAATAGGCCCGTAATCACCCCGAAAGCCCAAAGATAGCCCTCTAACTTGTGAAACCCAGATCTCGAAGTTTAGGGCATGGGCATGGAAAAAAGAGGACCCATCATCTTCTTTCATCAGCCTCATAGGCCCAAGAGGAAGAATCCACTCACCACCCACATGAGAGAGAAAGCAGTCATGATTGAGAAAGAGGAGAGAGAAGAGTCCAAGATTTGAGGCAGATCTGCACCCTCAAAGCTATACAAATCAAAAGAAAACAGGAATCAATCTTTAAAGTTTTATTTTTTTTTGAAAGAAAAATCAGGCATGAAAATTAAAACACTAGCATAATTCCAGTGTTTGACGAGCCTGTACTAGGCTCTTAATTGTGATACTAAAGTTATTGGGGGAAAAAAAAAAGTTAAGCATGAAAAATTAAAAAGAATCAGAATATTAGCAGTATTAAAGATTCATAGATAGATAGCCCTCAATGGAGGAACCCAATTTTAACAGCTACCGAACTTTGTAAAAGAAATACCTCGAAGCAAAGGCAAGTATTCCTTCTTTTGAGAGGTTTACCATTTAGAGAGAGAGAGAAAGCCAGAGAGAGAGAGGGGCGTACCTTTTGGCATTAGGCAGAGAGGGGGCTGGGGTGGTCATGTCTATTTGGTGCAAGTGTTCACGTGAGGCAAGGCAACAGCAGTATTAATGAGCATGATAACACCCTCACTCCCTTTTTATTTATTTCTTATTTTTTTACAAAGTCTAACTTTACTTTCCATTAAAAATTTGAAGGGTCAAATATGTCGTGACCAATATAAGTTTGACTTTGTTTCTGCTGAAAATCTCATGGGTCAAACATGTCGTACTCCATACAAGTTGGGCTTTACTGCCGCATCAAACCCTAAAGGGCACGCGTGCAACATTAGGAATGATCATGTTCACTCCCTATCGAGATTAAGGATCTAAGCTTTTTTTGGTTCATTTTTACTTTAAAATTGTTATCTGACTCATCATCATTGTCATAATTTTTTCCAACTATTTAAAGTTGGTTAAAATCGCCATTTGAATATTTTTTCAAAAAAATATATATTGAATTTTGAATCTCTAAATACTTAGGTTTAGAGACGGTACTTCTAAGTTCCTAGACACTCAGATCTAAACACAAAAATCAGATTCTTTTCCTTTCTAGCTCGTTGCTAGGACCTGGAAGCTACAAGAAATTTTGAGTCCTAAACCTTACTCCCTCATCAAGTTTTTACATGTTGCATGTAGCCGCAGAGCGGACCATTCAAAATGGTTTGGTTTTCCTTTCATTGCGAAGAATGGTGTGAATGAATTTTTGGATATAGTCAAAAAAGCAAAAAAAAAAAAAAAAGGAAAAAAAAAGAAAAAAGAAGAAGAAAAAAATGGTGTGAATGCGTTACTTAGTTCAATACTCAAATGTTTCAACTACAAAAGGGATAAATAATGAGAGAGATAACAAAGGGGACAAAAATTATGTTGGGAGAGGTAAATGATGAAAGTTCCGAGTTGATGATGTCTTCACCTTGCCATTGCCATGGCCGCCCGCCCATCTTGGACTTTCCTCTCCTTCAATAGTCATCCTCACCCAACCTTGAGCTATCTTCTTGTCACCAAAGAAACAAGTGATCCTTTTTGTAAGGTAGACTAACATAATTTATTAATTGATCTTCAACTTTAAAATATTTGTATTTGAGTTGTTGGGTTGAGAAAGAGAGAGAGAATGGATGAATGTGTGGGGAAAGTCAACAAAGTGAAAGGAGTACCTTCAAAACCTTGCAAAATCACAAACAATGACAAATGTAGCAACCCATAAGAGATTTTGGCCCTAGATGAAGAGGAAATCAATAATAGATTTTGGAGATAAATGAAAAGGAAATCAATAATAGATTTTGGAGGTAGATGAAATTAACCTGTCCATATATTCTTTATTTTATTTTTTTTGTTCTTTTTAACATCTTTTAGTTATGTGACTACTTAAAAAAAAAAAAAAGTGAAAAAACCATTTTGAGTTCGATGATTGCTGCTTTCTTAGGGAGGTAAAAGGCTTGGGAAGCCACCGCAAGAGCGCAGGTTCAAATTCATAGAGCGGCCACTTTATGCAAAAGCCAATGGTTATGACCGTTTCCAGCCCACCCCTCTGAGGACCTTGCTTAGGAGGGACCAGCACTAGGTTACGACCCTTTTTATGATTATTGCTTTCTACACATGATATTTGATCAATTGTGCTTCTAGTTTTTGTGACTTGATGGTTTAATACAAGCAACTCAAACGTGCAATGCAAAATATTTGCTAGTTATTTTCAGAATATTAATTTCATTTTCAGAAAGAGGAAAGCATAAGACTCCAAGGTGATTTAGAAGCCACTGCACATATACAAGTACTAACGGCATAACAAAAATCTAACTCCTAACCTACTTAAAATTAAAAAAATGGGTTGGGGAATGTCTTCCCCAATAAATTGCCAAAAAACCAAATAAAATAAACTGCATTTGACCTAAACCCCGAACCTTCACAAAGCAAACAATTTGGCTCGGATGGGCATTTTAGATTCAATACATAAATAGTCATTTATAGCTGACCTTTGATCACGGTCAATAGTCATTTATAGCTGACCTTTGATCCCACCTGCACGGTCCATTTGGTCAGGAGATCAATGACTTGATAAAGATTAAGATGACTACGCAAACAAGGATGGGTTTTCAATTAAGATTTATCCTGCAACATGAGGATTGTGGCAACATTGAAATTAAAAAAGAAACAGGAGGGTAGATTTCGGTGCTTGGGGCAATTAGTGCAAGGCCTATTAAAAAGGGAAAAGGTTTATATAAGGTTGTAACAAATCTTTCAGAAAATGTTATTTTAATTTTATTTATTTTTGACAAAATTTAAAATTTATTAATAATAGATGCAACTTACATCAGGGAAACTACTTTATCAGCTATCAAAAAAGTATCCAAATCCACTCCCCTAAATCAACCACTTCATTTGCCTCCCTATATACAT